ACGCCAATTTCAAACCATAGATGAGGGCTTCATACTCAGCAGCATTATTAGTGGTCTGGAACTTAAACCGCAATGCATGCTCATATTTAAAGCCATCTGGGCCTATCAACACAGCCCCAGCACCCGACCCTTCAACGTTAGCAGCTCCATCAACATACAAAACCCAGGCTGGGTAATCAAGCGCCTTGTCTCCGTCCGTCGCCGAGATGCATTCTACCAGAAAGTCTGCAATGGCCTGGCCTTTTATGGTTGTGCGCGGCTTAAACTTCAAGTCATATTCACTCAGCTCGACACTCCATCCGATAAGCCGACCAGAGAGCTCAGGTTTCTGTAGTATTTTTCTCAACGGCAAATCAGTATAGACAATAATTTGATGTGATTGGAAGTAAACTCTCAACTTACGAGCTGTGTAAACTAAGGCAAAAGCGGCCTTTTCTGCTACAGGGTAATTCTGCTCGGCGCCTTGTAAGACTTTGCTCACATAACAGATAGGCTTCTGATTCTTATTCTCTTCCCTGAGTAAGACCGAGCTAACCGCCTCTGCTATAACCCCCAAATACAGATACAAGCTCTCCCCCTTCACAGGCTTGGACAGCAGGGGCGCTGACGCCAAGTATCGTTTGAGCTCGTCAAAGGCCTACTGACACGCATCGGTCCATTGAAAGTTCTTGGGCTCTCTCAGGGCCTTAAAGAACGGGAGGCATCTTTCTGCCGACCTCGCTATAAACCTGTGCAGCGCAGCAACACGGCCCGTCAAACGCTGCACGTCTTTGACAGTCCTTGGCGGCTCCATCTGCTGAACAGCCTCAATCTTCTCTGGGTTTATTTTGATTCCTTTCTTGGATACCACGTACCCTAGGAATTTCCCTGATTCCACAGCAAACGTGCATTTCAAGGGGTTCAGTTTCATTTGAGCTCGACGCAAATTTTGAAATGTTTCGTCCAAGTCGTCAATGTGATCCTCAGCTCGCACGCTGGTGACTATCATATCATCTACGTACACTTCTATGTTCCTGCAGATCTGGAGCTTAAAGATGATTTGCACCAGCTTCTGGTATGTTGCTCCAGCATTTTTTAAGCCAAAAGACATCATGACACAGCAGTATATTGCGTCACCAGCGTAAAAAGCCATTTTTTCCTGGTCGTCTAACAACAGTTGGACCTGGTGGTAACCCGAGCTGGCGTCTAGAAAACTCATCCGTTCATGCCCAGCTGCCCGTTCTACCAACTTCTCAACGTTTGGCAACGGATGAGGGTCTTTTGGACACGCGTCATTGAGGTTGGTAAAATCAATGCACATCCTCCACTTTCCATTTGGCTTTTTGACGAGCACAAGGTTGGACACCCATTCGGAGTACTCCACTCTTTTGATGAAGCCGGCCTGTAACAACTTTTGTATCTCCTCGTCAATGGCAGCTTGCTTCTCGGGGCCAAAAAGGCGGCGTTTTTGTACCACCGGTCTCCTGGTAGGGTCTGTGCTGAGCTTGTGGACTGTCAATTTTGCCAGAATGTCGGGCATTTCGTACGTAGTCCACGCAAATACGTCCTGATTATTCCTCAGGAATTCTA